TTGTTTTTCATTTATCAATAGGAACTTATGCTGTGCTATTTGATTAAACCCTCTACCATGACTGACAAAGAAATGGAGTCACCAGAATGTATGAAAAGAATTAAAGTTCAGGTGGGTAAACTGAGAGATAATTTATGTCATCCTAAAGATTCCATTGTATTGTGTCCTCTTGAACAGGTGCTCCTAAGAAATGAAACTCATCTTGCCTTGGTAACAGAAAACCCTCTCAAGTCTTTTCCTGCTAAACCCATTCTTACTCTCCCTTAATTACTGCTGCTTCCTTACCTGCCATATGATCTGGTTTCTGTCCTTAAAATCAGCTGTTCTCCCAGACAACCTGGGACCTCCCAGCCAGGCCAGGACCTCGCCTCAGTCTCATTCCCAGAGACTAGAAGTGGTGCTGTTGACTTGCTCCCTCCTGGAACCTCTCACCTTGCTTCTGGGGTCTGTGTTACACTGAGTCTCTTTTTGTCTTCCTGGTGGGTTTTTCTCTGCCAGGGCTGCCAAGTTCATTGTCCAGTCACCCAGCGTTTATTAATATTCCCATCCCATCCCTTGCCCTGTCTGACTCCTCCTCCACATCAGCGCCTCACTATTTTTCTTCCATCTCTAACATTGCACCCTTCCTTCCTGTTCGCACCACTCCAGCACCTCTTCCCCCTTATATGTCCTGCTCATCCCCACTAGATTAACGTTTTATAAAATGCCAATCTAGATCCACTCCTCCTCCCTCAGAGTTGACCTAGATATACCAACGCCATCATAGACTTGGTTCTGATATTAAATACGAGCTTTTGCCCTGGCGCTCCTAATCCTGGAAAGTGTTAGTAAAAGCAAGTTTAGCTTTTAAAATCTTTGCACGATTATGATAGATACTATTTGCATGTAAGGTTTGTATTGCTGCATTCACATTTTCTCCAAATGTTTGGTTAAAAGGAATGGGAACAGGTATCCTTATTATGTAGACAGCTTTTTGTGCAATGTAGCTACAGTGTCATATGCGTAGCATGTTTTTATTTCTGTTCTTGAAATTCAGTCACCTTTTTGTTTTGATTGGTTACAGGAGGTGATTCTAAGCCGCTGGGTTTCTTCACGAGAGAGGAGTGACCAAGACGAACTTTAACAATTCAGCCTCAGATTTCTGATTTCACCAGCAAATACTTATTGAGTCTCCTATGATAAGCCAAGTTCAGGGGAAGGTAAAGAGTCCTTTTATTGTCATTGTCCATTAATTTAAAAGTTTTAAATGGCATGGCGCTCCCAACACTGGAAAACTGTTAGTGTTTTAAAACATAAAATTACATAAGGGAGAAAAAGAGCCCTGTGCTGAGGCTTCAGATTCTGGCCTTGAATCAGTCACTGACTCTGACCGACCCTGAGCTCCTTGCCTCTGGGCCTCAGTCTGTGTCCTCATCCATTCAGTGAGGAAGCTGGACTGCATGAGCCCCAAAAGGACTCTCTCAGCAGTAGAGAAATTATGTTGTTCTCAGATTTTACCGGAGAATGATAATAGCCTACATTATGTGGTACTGTACAGTTTCCAAAACTCTTTTGTACACAGGGCTCTCTTGTTCCCCACATCCAATCTGTTCCTGAAAGAGTGCTGGAGAGCAGATTTGGGGATTGTAGGGCGCTATGTTCCATTATTTTAAATAAAAAAATAATATGTCTCAGCTTGTCCAAGAGCTTCAAGCAATTTCTCAAACACATAAAGATCCATTTAATATTTAACAAGGATTTCTGTAGCATTTAAAATATCAATTACATAATTATTTGTCAGTGAACTCGGTGGGCATATTTGTATAGAATACACAACAATATTATACAATATTAGGTAAAAATCACATCTTGCTTCAGTGTACTTGTTATGAAATAAAAATAGGCAGTGAACTAATGTATGAAAATACATAATGAGTTCGATTAACATTTGGTAAAACACAATAAACAAAGCCTCTTTTAAATTGGTTAGATCCCAATGAAGAGTTGCCTAAGGGGTGGCATTTGGAGGCAGTGGGGAAATGGACAGAGGGCATGGGAAGTTGGGAGGAGATGAGCAAGTGGCAGCCAGTGTCGGCATGAGGGAACCGGTGTCTGGGATTCTTCCACTGTCCAAATTCAAGACACTGGCGGACAGTCTTCTCCTTGGCACTAAATATTCCAGAAGTAGATGGTTAAGAACCGCCTTTGGAAGCTGAGATGAAAAATCCAACATGGGCTCTTGTTTGCACTCCCTTGATACATGATCTTGGAGTTCCTGACAGCCTAAGATTCTGCTTATAGTTGTGTTTTAAAGCGGTGCTTCTGTTCACGTCATGATCCTCCTCTCGCAACAAAATCATCATGTCTGCATGCCCTACGTTTTCAAGATTTGGCATTCAAATAATGGAGCTCCCCTTCCTCCCCTGCATCAGATCAGTAATGACCATCAATTTGAAAGAGCTTCTTAGTAAATTCTTTACTCTTCATTTGTGATGCTAGTAGTTCTTCAACATTTTTACTGTCCACTTTGTTTACACCAGGCTCCTCAGCAAAATGGAAGATTTAACTTTGAATCATCACTTTCTCAAAATCTTGAATGTTGGCAAAAAATTTCAGGAGGCATTTCTTCTCTACTTCATTCTTCTATTGTGATGGCACGTCTTTCCAAGCCTAATCAGTGCATCAAATGCCTTTATGGTAAAAACTCTTCCATGAGTCCTTTATCAAAGTACGGTCTTCCTGTCAGCTAATATGCTTTGAAGGTTGTAGTGACTCCTTGGTGTAAAGGCTACAATAAAGATGTAGAGAAGCCAAAAGATATTTGTAACTGAAAACTCTAGAAGGATGTCTAAAGCATCCTCTTTAGTCAAGTCTCGTACGAAGGATTTTCCTTTTTGTGTATAAGATACGAACACCATATAACAGGCCATGCATTCTTCAGTGTTACACAAGGGCCCTGGGGGTTCTGGAGTGATAACCAGCAAAGGTTTTGGTTTACATCACACTCACAGTTCCCAGCTAAAAGCAATATTAGCTTATCTTCCAAAGCATTGAGTCCTAGCACTTCTTACTTTTTGAAGTAAATGTACCAGATGGCATTTGTTTTCAAAAAAAAAAAAAGCTCAGTTTCATCAAGATTGGAAATTGACTCTTCAATAAAAACCCCCTGAGGAGATTTTACAGTTCAGTGGGGGAGATGCCACAGCCTCACTGAGAACAGAAGTTGTTTCACCCACACCCTTCAAAGCATCAGGCTTACATGGTTCTAAAATCTCAAACCTCCCAGACTTGCTTTAAAACTGAAATCCTTTTGATGACTGTTCCTCCTATTGCCTTTAGGCCTGGCACTAGGATTTTAGGTCATCATAAATTAAAATTTGATTTTATTCACTCAGAGAATATTAGGATAATGGGATTGTCTGATTATTCTCTGAAATTTGCAGAATCAAACACTTTTCTAACACAAAAAAAAATAAAAATAAAACTGAAATCCTTCACCAAATCCTCTTTCCTCCATCACTTTCCAGCTCTCCTGAGGTGTTCAAAGCCATCTACAGTACCAACTTGTATTCGGTGACATCAGACTGGCCATACAAGAATTTCACTAGCCTTATAAAAATAGCATGCCATGCTCAAGAACACTGAAATTTTGTGAAACCAAATTGCCTTCAATAAAATGTTTCACAAGTTATATTTTGTCAACCCAATGCAAAAAAAAAAAAAAATAGGCAGATACCTGCTTGGCCAAGATTATATCTTTTATATGATCACCTTTCTCAATACACTATCATTTCTCAATACACTATCTCAATACACTATCATTTTTTTTTTCTATTATAGGGAGATTTCCTAGGCCTCAAAAACTCATCTACTTTTTTCCACTTCAATAGGAGACATTTTTACTTAGTAAAGTCAAGGAAATGATGTGCTGATATACTACACATCCAAACACAAACATCAGGCAGTCAGCTAAAACAGAAGCACATGCTGTGTCTTCTTTCTGGTCCAGACACAACTTAAATGATTTCACTGCAGACTCTTACATATTCATTATTTTTTATTTGGATAACCAATATGGGGGACCATATTTTGCAGATCATTACAGCAAATATTCAGATACTGGGAGCTGAGATGAGGCAGACACCTTTATTCTTGCTCATACCACAAGCCCTTTATGATTAGGTGGTGCGACCCTCCACAAGAGGAAGGTTTGAGGCTCAGCGATGTGGCCTCTTGTACGTCACCACTAGGAAGCGGAGGACTTGATCTGAGAGCTCTTGGTCTTGCATTCAATGCCTTTATGAGATCTCCACAACTGAAGTAACACCAGCCTAGAAAATCACGTGAAGTCAAAAATACAGCCCCATTAGGGCTTGTTCAGGTGGAGGTTAAAGAGGAGGGCTGCCCTCAGTGCCAGGCAGGGTCAGGTATGCGCTGGCATGGCTGGGCAGTGGTCCCCCACCTCAGGATTGGGCGCAGCCTGAGATCTCTCTGGAACATGCTCATGCATATGATTTTGCATACATCTTCCGGAGGTTCCCAGATTCCATGTAGATCCAAAGTTAAGAACCTGGGAGCAATGCGTGGTTCTTGGCTTTTAATATATTTTCCCATAGATAATTTTATTGAAGGCTAGTTAGTGGAATGAGCCTTCTAGAAAGGAACCATTCAAATCTCATCTCTGCCTCTCAATGGTTGTGACCTTGGGCAACTTACTTGCCCTTTATCATCCTCAGTTTTCTTACCTCTAAAGTGGGGCTGATGATATGGTTATGTAAATAAAGGAGAAGTCAAAAAGTACTTAACACAAGGAGTTTCCACTTCCTTCCTGGAAGGAGTGACTCAAACCCACCAAACTGGCAAGAGACCAGGAAGACACAATGTCAATTTATTTAAATTCAGAGCTAACTCTGGGTTGAGAACTGAAATGTATTTGTGGAAGTTAGGCCCATCTGATAACAAACACAGACATTGTTTGTGCACAGAAAGTGGAGAGAAGTGAGAGGACGTTTCTAGAGGGCCTCCTGTGTGTCAAGGGGCTATTTTGTACTTGAAGTGAGTTGAATTACCTTTATCTTGCCTTCTGAAGAACCTATGGCCAGAATCAGGCAGTCAGCCACGCCTGGAAGGTACTGAACCAGCCTGGGGAGCAGCGAGGATGAATAAATACTTCTGTAACCATGGACCTGCCTTGCCTTTAAGGCACCATCTCCTCGGATTATAGTTAGTAGCTTACAGTTTTCAGGATTTTAAAACTTTATGAGACTGATTTTGGTATCAAACTTTAGCAATTCCTTGGTCTCTGATTGGCCTTAGGTAGATGGCTAGGAGCTCCTTGCTTTGGAGTCAGACCTAGGTTTGCATCCCAACTCATCCACTTAGTAGCAAAATAATCTTAACCTCAGTTTCCTCATCTATAAAGTGAAATTAATGTTATCAGCATACACATACAATAGAATGCTATTCAACAACAAAAAGAAATGAAGTACTGACACGTTACAATGTGGATGAACCTCGAAAACATGCCAAGTGAAGCCAGACACAAAAGGTTACATATTGTTTGATCCCAATTAGATACCCAAGGTAAATCCATAGAGAACACAGATTGGTGGTTACCAGGGGAGCGAGGAGAGAGGACTGAGGAGCAACTGCTCAGTGGGTACAGAGTCATCTTTCAGGGTGATAAAGTGTTTCTGAGCCAGATAGAAGTGGCGGTTGCACAACATTGTACTAAATGCCACTGAATTTTCCACTTTAAAATAGGTTTATGTAATATGAATCTCAATTTTAAAAAGTAAAAATAATGTTATCAACCCCAGAGGTTGGCTAGAGGATTTATGTGGATTAGTCCTCCCAAGGTGCTTGTTATAACAGTGCCTGGCTCATAATGTACTGTCAGGAATTAGTAGCTATGAAGATTCATTTTCGGGGGAAAGAGGAAGCACTTATGTCCTAAGAATCACAGTTACCTGTCATCTAGTAAGGCAGTTACTTGTGCAGTTAATTATTGTATGTTGATTCTCTTAGCTTCAGTTTTAGGGGAAATAGTAACTTCTACACCTTTACTGTCCTGAGTTCTCGCGTAAAGAGATTCACTTCTATAATTAGTGAGGATTAAACCAACACTTGGCAGGGATTAAAGCAACATGAATGGGTTTTAGGTGGGTTTACCAGGCTGGTATTGGTTAGGTTTCGCTATGATTCTGAATATAATGTACTAGTCTGAAAAGTCCTTGTTACTTATTGAATAGTTTTTATTTTGTCTTATTTTGCCTTTATTGTTAAAGCATTTTCATTTTTTGTTTTTAAAAAGTTAACCGTTTGCTTGAATGTGATTCTTAACTTAGTTTTCTCCTTGTGGGGGGGTACATGGGTTAAAAAGAAATGAAATGTCTCTCCCCCCCACCATCCACCTTCCATTTATAATTTTACCAACTGAATTGAATTTTTAAAAATCTGATTACAGACTCAAATAATTATCCCATTTCTAAAATCAATTGAGATATTTAAACCCATCAATTTAACTTAAATCTTTGCATTTTTATATATACGCTGAAAAAATTTAGTCTTTTTACCATTTTGTGAAACAGGGATGTCTTAATATGTGATATGAAAAAGCACATTTGTGAAATTGTTAAGCTAAGAGGTAATGTTTTTTTTATTTTAAAGCAATTCAATCTAAATGAAAGGTTTTGAGCATTTTTAAAAAATTTAGGATCTTTACATTTTCAGAAACACTATTGCAGAGGTAGATATTCTCCTTTCTAACTTTTAAATTCTGATAGAGTAGGAACAGTGGAAACAGGAAAACCTGGGTCCAAATGCCAGGTCTATGCTAGAAAAAATAGTGGCAATCTTGAAAATGTTGCCTAATCACTGTGAGCCTCAGTTTCTCAGCTGTGAAATGGGGATAATTACTACCTCTTGAGTTTGTTTGGCAGATTAAGTGAGATGTCATAGAGAAGAGTCTGGCATATGATAGGTATACTTTTTTCCCTCTCTGATAAACCAAAAGTGTAAGCATTGCCATAATTATTTTCTTTCAGGATTGCAAAGCCTTGTTTATGCCCTGGTAGGTAGCACAATGGAAGAGGAGGCAATAGAAAAATAGTTTGAGGTAAAGTCATGAGTGAAGACAGCGCTGGAGATTGGGGAAAATGATGTCATATGCACCTCCTATACAAAGGGAGCTAGATATGGCCATTGTGGGTTTTTTAAAAAATATGTTTATTGGATTTTCTGGTTATAAGAGTAGTCCATGCACACTATTGAGGCTTTGGAAAAATACCTTTGTGTGGGTCATTTTAGTCTTTCAGATCAGTAACACCGAGGCAAACTATGACCTTGCCATGGAAAGGAGCATTTATGGAGGACTAGATGTGTTCCAAGGGCAGTGCTAAATGCTGAGATGAAGAAGTGCATTTTGGGAGGTGCTGGGGAGAAAACTCTGAGACTTCTTCTGGGAAGCAGAGCTGGGGCCAATGCTAAATCTCCTCGTCCTTCAGTTAGCATTTAGCTGGTATGATAAAGGAAACAATGGAAGGATTCTCAGTTTATAATTCTAAAAAACGGAGCAACATTGCCATCTATTGGTGTTATGAAATGCTTAATTTCCTTTATTAGTGGTAAAACCTGTAGGGTAGTACTGTGACTTTATGAGTAAGGAATTTATAGCCTGCTGAAGTGAAGATATGAGGTAGACTACTGCCCATATCACCTCTAGGTTGAAAAGTAATCCCTATAATAGAGACTGTTAAAGCTTTGAGAAGCAAGGAATGCTGCACTAAAGGAAAATAGCATGAAATTGGCATTTTTAATATTAACAATCCTTATTTTACCTGAATTGTTTTATAATATTATTTACTTGAATGTCGATGAAAGTAAAATCCTTATTTTCTCCTTTATCTTGTCTAATGGAAAAATTGCTGACCCAGTTATTGTACATCCTAGGTACCACTGGTCTCTTTCAGATTACCAGGTGGCTCAGGAGCTAAGTGCATGGGCCTTGCAGTCAAATTTGGGTTTGAACCCTGATTTTGCCACTGTGTGACTTTGGGCAAGTCATTTCCTCAGCATCCCTTTTCTTTCAACAGTAAAATGGGCATGTTGGTACCTACTTCGCAGGGTGGTCTTGAGGATTGAAAAGGAAGAATAAGAAGTGTTTATTCTGTTGTGGAGAATACTCATGAATACTCATGAACTGCAAGTGCTCTGATTACCAATAATCAGGTAAAGAATGAGACCAGAGAAGTGAAGTCCTAAGATAGGGTGTTAAGAGCATGGGGACAACAAATTGGAATGTTCCCCAAACTCAA